GCGAAAGAGCACTTGTAGTCTTTTTTTCTAAAATTGGCTTGGGATGACCAGTTTTCCAGATTTGTTCATGTGGCAGCACCTTTGGTCTTTGTGCAGGAGTCGGGAGGGAGGAGTGAGAGGAAGGAAGGTAGAGGTTCATTTGGCTCACGGGAGAGCTGTCTTTGGCTGTCTTGGGCGGTGAAGGATGCCCTAGAACATAGAAATGAGTTTAACTATGGCCTTCTAACATTTTACTTTAACTCAAAATTAGGTATACTGAGTGTTTGATGATGGCCAAAAAAAGTTATTTCAAGCAGTCATTGTTCCTGTCCATTGATTTTGGGAGGAGGAGAGGGTACTAATGCTATTTAAATAGTGGCCAAAAATAATTTGGGGTCTTTCTCTTTCTTTGGGTGGAAACAGTATTTTCCTGACTGCAGCCCTTGGATTTCCTGAGGCTTTAATTCCTGTCCAGCTGCTCTGGGTCAATCTGGTGACAGACGGCCTGCCTGCCACCGCACTGGGGTTTAACCCACCTGATCTGGACATCATGAACAAACCACCCCGGAACCCGAAGGAACCACTGATCAGCGGATGGCTCTTTTTCCGTTACCTAGCTATTGGCTGTGAGTACAGTTTTTTATATTCTTGATTTAAAAAAAAATTTTTTTTAATGTTACTTATTTTTGAAAGAGCATGAGCTGGGGAGGGGCCAAGAGAGAGCGAGACACAGAATCCCAAGCAGGCTCCAGGCTCTCAGCTGCCAGCACAGAGGCCCGACGTGGGGCTTGAACTCACAAGCTGTGAGATCATGACCTGAGCTGAAGTCGGATGCTTAACTGAGAGCCACACAGGCGCCCCTATGTTATTGATGTTTAAACGTAATCTTTATGAGCCAAAGTTTTGTAAATTCATCCCTTAACACACATTTTTTTTCTTCTATCCCCATATTAGGGTAGCAAAAAATGGAGTTCAGTAAACTGTATGTTCAGTTTACAGGAAAGTCAGTCCCTTGTTTTAGCATCCTTATCATCCCTTGGGACTTTGTGAATGAGATTTTCAGATTTAATCTAAGGGCAAAGGGATATAGGGGTGAGTCAGGGTCAGGCCTTATATCCCCAGGCTATGAAACTAAGCCCTGCTTCCCCTGAGTAGAGAAGGGTGATGTGCATTGATCTGCAGAGGTTGGTAAACACACAGGAGCTTCGACCACAGGTCATGTTCCTCTACATACATTGTTTCTGTAGACTTGATGCTCTTGGCCCAGCTGCTGATTCTTGTCCCCCAGCTTTAGAAAAGTGAGGCCTAAAGAGTTTAAATAACTTCCCTGGGGTTCCATAGGAAGGTGTTTTGGTTTTGTTTTAATAAGTTCGCATGATTTAAAATTCAAAAAGGACACTGGCATAGCGTGAGAAGGTTCTCAGCGAGTCAGTTGCCCTCCAGCATTGGGTTTTTCATGTGCCCTCCCAGAAATAAGTCTAGCAAACAGATCTATTTCATGTATTTATTTTCATAAGTGTTGGCGTGCTGTAAACACCTGTGTGCTGAACCCTGTCTCCGTGTACCTTTTCCTGTTTGCTGGGAGTTGCCATATCGGTGTGTGTAGAGCTGCCTTGTCCCCATGCACCAGCTCTCTCATTCCTGCCCATAGCTGCCAGGTTAGGGGATGCACCTGTGTCGTGGTGGTGGGTGCTGCTGCATCGGCACCATCTTCACAGTGTCCAGTCCCTTGTTCTCCACTACCCCGTTGCTTTGTAGTAAACTTGTTGAGTTCAGAACTGATAGGTTGGGAGGGAGGGTGGTCCCAGAATCAGCTCTGGGTTTTTGTCATATTGCCTGTGTTCCGCACTAACTGCTCTGACAGCATTTCCACGTAAAGGTTCTGCAAGGCCTTTGATAGAGCAAATAAGTGTACACCTGGGAGCATCAGTTTCCCTAAAAGTCCTGGGTGCTGTGATCTGAGCCAACACAGCAAGGGCTTACATAGAGTATGTGTGTACCTGCTGCCAGTTAGAGAAGGCATGGCTGTCATCGAGGTCCCTGCCAGTTGCAGTATTTCCTTTTTCTCATAAACTCTGGAGGAAAAGTTGCCTGGTTTTTCTGTACCAGACACCCCTCTCCTTGCAGAGACCCACCGTCAGCTGCTTGGGCTGATGTGAGTGAGCAGTTGCTAGTGGCAGCAAAGCTCTCCAGTGCCATCGACAAACCAGGTCTCATCTCTGCGGGGGATTGGCCTGTGAGGCAGAGCCCGCAGTATAAGCTGTGGGCTGCAAACCCTGCCTGTGTCTGTTACCAGGTTACGTTGGCGCTGCTACTGTGGGTGCTGCCGCGTGGTGGTTTATTGCTGCCGACGGGGGTCCAAGGGTGTCCTTCTACCAACTGGTACGTATCCACCTTTCTTTCCTGTACCTTAGAGGCAAAGCGTAAGATTGCCCTTGAGTTTTTGTGGTTTCGGTGCCTACCAAATCATCTTAATGCGTAAATAATAAACAGTTGCATCTAAGATTATTCTGAAGGACCAGGGCTTCTCTGGTGGATGGACTGAGATCTCCTGTGGGTCTGTGTTCTGAGATTTACTGTGTCACTGGGGCATGGACCTTGGAAATGGACTTGGCTGATCAGGAACTTGAATGGGTGTTTGTTGCAGAGCCACTTCCTACAGTGTAAAGATGACAACCCGGACTTTGAAGGAGTGGATTGTGCAATCTTTGAGTCCCCGTACCCGATGACAATGGCGCTGTCTGTTCTAGTAACCATAGAGATGTGTAACGCCCTCAACAGGTCAGTGAGTCCTCCACAGGCTGGGGCAAGAGCTCCCCCAGCCAGGGCCTAGGGGAACTGTGTGTCTTGCTTGATGGAGGATCTCAGGAAAGCTCCTCCCTCCCAGAAAGAAAAGAGAACAAGCAGCACCGGTTTTAAAAGCTTAAGTCGTCATCACCTCCAGGAAGTAGTGGGAGTGTTTAACCACACGTTCTTTATGAGACAGCAGAGGCCAAAAATAGGGACTTCAGAGCCCCTATATGCCAATGCCCACAGGGAAGGTGCTCTTGCTCTTTAGCAGTGAGATAAATGGTATCATCCAATTAAGCCCATGACAAAAATGGAAATCCCAAAATAGCATTAAGCATCAAGGGCAATTGAGAGCATCTTGGAGTCCACTGAAATCATCTGTGCCGAAGGAAGCCTAGATTTAAAATTGGAAGTTTGTCCTACATTTGAGCATTCTTCTTTAATTGTGCCACAGTAGAAACTTCACTCAAAAGAATTGGGTCAGTGGGCAATGCCAAGTTAGCCACTATCCTATTAAAGCATAGCTCCGAATGGTCTTTGTCACTTGTAACAAAGGTGTTTGCCTTTTGGACAGGCATGTGTCATGTCCCTCTCCTTGTTCTGCAGCTTGTCTGAAAACCAGTCTCTGCTGAGGATGCCCCCTTGGGAGAACATCTGGCTCGTGGGCTCCATCTGCCTGTCCATGTCGCTCCATTTCCTCATCCTCTACGTGGAACCTTTGCCAGTAAGCGGTGGCGGGACCAGGACCGAGCTGGGGCCTAACTGCCTGTCCTGCAAGTTTGGGAACTTGACAAAGCTTCTTTGTATTTCAGCTTATTTTCCAGATCACACCGCTGAACTTGACCCAGTGGCTGATGGTGCTGAAAATCTCCTTGCCTGTGATTCTAATGGATGAGACACTCAAGTTTGTGGCCCGCAACTACCTGGAACCTGGTAAAGAGTGTGTGCAGCCTGCCACCAAATCCTGCTCGTTCTCGGCATGCACCGATGGGATTTCCTGGCCGTTTGTGCTGCTCATAATGCCCCTGGTGATCTGGGTCTATAGCACAGACACTAACTTTAGTGATATGTTCTGGTCTTGACTGACAGTTTTACATAAAGAAGATGTTTAACTTAATCAATTAATTTTTTTATTGTTTAAAGCAACTGTCTATTTCTGCTGAATTTTCACATGAACATACTGGCTGGTGAAGGAGATTTCATACTCTAGATTTTGTTTTGCTTTTTCTGACTCCAGTGGGGCAAGATTTTCCTTTTTTATACACATAATTAAAGTGTCCATTGACATGTACAGAGAACTAACACTATTTTATGCAAATATTTTTTTGTAGATGAAAAAGCATGTACAGTGTTCTGTTTAATACTCATCCTTGTATAAAAAAAATAGTTGAGCCAGCAGACATTGTCAGCAAATTAATTGGCAGCAGATTTTAGGAAATGAATGTGTGTGGTTTTTTTTCTAAAACTAAATAGCATGTATTGTGTCTTCTGCATGATCATCTGGATTTAATCTGAGATCACAGTCTAATTTTTATTCATAAGCCAATTTTTCTGCACTGAGCAGAGTACTGCTACCTCAGTCAGTATTTTTTGGTTTGCCACTCCCCTCACCCCCTGTGGCCCCCATTCACTTCCACCCCCACCCCCCACACTCCCAGCCCCGCTCGGCTGCTTCTCCTGTAGGGTTTTGATGGTTCTGTTTACATCAGTCTTAACAAGAGGTATGCCTGTTCTCGCTTGTGCAGAAAACATTGTTCCAGATACAATCGACTGGGTTCATGTCCCCCCACGTAGTTTTTAAGGTTATTTATTTAAATGTCTAATGTATTTTATTGTAACAGACATTGTTTTGCCAACATTGCCTATTTCAGTGGCACTTCACAATCTAGTTTAAAAGGAAAATAAAACATTTTAAATGGACAGAAAAATAACTGTCTTGTTTTTAACTTTTAAGTGGCTTAGCTTGAACTATCTAACAGCCGTGTCCAATTTTCTCTTAAGTTCTTAGCTCGGAACTTTAGCTTTTCTGTGCTCTAGGGGAAGAAAGATCCTGTTCTGCTGCATTGGTAGTTGTAGGAGTTCATGTATATGTACCAGTTGTCATCTGTGATACTTTTTATGCAAGTTTCTGCTGGCCTGTTGTAGCCTGGTGTAGAGAACATAAGGGCGCGTGCGTGCGTGTGTGTGTGTGTTTTTGTAAAATCTGTAAATAGCACATGACCAAATGAACATATTGTATAGAACTATTTTTATTTGAATGTGGCACTAACCAACACCATGTTACTATGATAAATGTTTGCGCATGTTCGAGATCAGTCTTACCAACAGTGTGTAAGCCATTAACTGTCCTAACTATGGTGTTTTCCTCCAATGCCTTCCAACATCATCAACTAACGTGAGTATTCCCTGGAATCCAGATGCTTTAGCCTAAAGGTGACTGCCACCGAGTGAGCTAGCTGTGTGACATGAAAAAGCCCCTTGTGTCATGCACTGCTGTGCTCTGTGACAGTCTCTGAGTGCAGCAAGTGTATGATGCGTGGTACCTGTGCACACGGGGGCTGGGTTAGCTGACGCGAGGTGTGACATCTGTAGGCTCCATGCGCTGCCTTGGTCAGTGGCACAGCCAGATGTCAGGGAGAGCCTGGGGAGAGAGAAGCTCGTTTTGCTTTGGTCCAACTTACAGGCTGAGAGAATGCTGCCTTTGCTGATGCCAAGATGAGGACTCTCAAAAACTTGTGGTTCTTTGGTCTTTACTAGCTGCAAGGATTCATCCAAGAACCTTGCTACCTGGTTCATTAAAAAGCAAAAATCTAGTGAAAGCAAATAGTTGAACCAGTCAGTTCGTGTATCCAATAGGTTGGTCTCAAGTAGGCCACCTCTTTTCACCTTCTGGGTCCTATCCTTTGCAGCTGGGACTTGTCTTCTCTCTCTCCAGGGTACGTTAAAGCAGAGTTATTTAGGGCATGGCTCTGCTAGCAGCCAGCCTTGTCCGTGAGCCAGGGCGAAGGAGGCCTAAGCAGGAGCTCCCTCCCCATGAGGCCCTGAGTGTTCCTGTGAAGGCTCTGGAGGCCCAGATTTGGGACCAGCCAAAAGATGTGATGTAAAGGCTTCCAGTTTGGGGGAGAGTTGGTGGGAATCATCAAGCGGGGCAGGGTACTGCCAACTTGCAAGGTCCGAGTGTAAGGGGACAGAAGTCCCATCCTAACTGCATGAGGTCTCTGAGAAAGGGAGGTTGGTCGGTTTGGCAGAGCGTGTAACAGGGGAAGAGGATGGGTTTTGCCAGTTTCGGCATCATGAGGCCTAAAAAGGACCAAATGCAAGGAGTGTGCCTTGGCTGCAAACCAGAACAGGATGTCTGAGCTTGTTGGGTGGTGTGCTATTCAATGGAAACCAAACTTACCCAATAGTCCGCTTTTCCTGACTTGGTTCCTCAAAGTAGTAACCTTTACAAAAGAAGTTAAATATTGTTTGCTGCTGTCGGAGAAATGCACAGCTCCAGATCAGCCTGGGCAGGCTGTTGCCTTGTGGTTTCTCAGCTTCAGGCCCATCCAGCCTGGAGGCAGTTTCAGCACCCGCTTCCCTCAGCCCAGGCAGCTAGGAGCATCCCCTTGTGCCCTCTGCTTCAGGCTTTGCCACATCAGCGCCTCCTCAGCAGTTGTACTGTTGTGGACGCATCCAGGGCCTCGGGCCTCCCACAGTGAGGGGCAGGTGCCCAGACCAGACCCATCCTCACCCAGCACCTGCAGGAAATTCCCAGGCGGCCTCTGCTTTTGCCGCCATCAGTACCGGTGTCCTTTTCAGACCTACCAGAACTTGTTCGTGTTCTCACCGATGGGCAGGTAGGCCTTGCACGGCTTCTTGGTTAGGCCTTTGCCTAAAAGATGGCGACATCACACATCCTCAAGGCGCTCATCTGCACAGTGCAGGTGATACTTTCTATAGAGAGCTGCGTGAGCTCACAGACAAGCAGGGCGAGTGCCAGCCTCCCCGCAAGCAGCTGCTATCACATCACCCTCAGGGGCCTCAGCTCCCTGAATGTCCTTTAGGCGGCAGACCTTCTGGAATATGAGACCACAGGCATTAGCTCGGGGTCTGTAAAGCGGCTCCCCACTGCCTAGAGCCAGAGGGGTCTGCAGCGCCCATGGGCTAAGTCGGCCAAATCAGCTGTTGCCTTTTTAACATAACCACCAATTTTGTCAAAGCCACCACCGCTCAGCCAGCCACAGGAATGGGGTGGGGAGGAAGAGGCTTCGCACTCAGCCGCACTGCTCGCCTGTGTGTCACCCTCCTTACCGTCCACAGTGCTAACCGAGAACTCTTTCCCCTCTTGCCCATTGCCCTTCCGTGTCTGAAGCAAGAATGTGTCTGCCTGGTGGGGTTCTTCCATGAGCCAGGGTGGCCTTTGCTCTGTAGCCAGGTGACATGAAGGGTTTGTACCAAGCCAGTGCTTCTGGCTGCTGCCTGATGTAGGCAGCACCTCAGGGACAGTTAATCAGAAATGCTGGTCTTGAAATCTTAAAAAAAATCAAACTGAACATTCCTTTTCACCATTCCTTGTCACTATTAATCTTAAATGGTTATTCTAACATTTCCTCCCCATATTTCATAAAGCTGATTTCCTCTCTCTTTCCTTTTCAGCAATACTGGAGTAACCGCTTCCTAAACCATTTTGCAGAAATATAAGGGTGTTCGGTTGCGTGCATGTGCGTTTTTAGCAACACATCTACCAGCCCTCTGCATGATTGATGTTGGGGGAAAAAGAAAAGTAGAAAAAAGCCCCCAACTCATTGTGTGTTATGTGGAGGAAACGTGTATTACCAACGGGTTTAGCTTTTAAATCAAAATAATAATTACAAATGTACAATTTAGCTTAATGAATCAGAAAGCCTCTCCAGCGAACTTTGGTTTCTTTGCTGCAAGAAGACTGAGGTTTTGAAACCTTATCTAAGAACTTAGAAGCCATCAGCCAAGTCTCCATATTTCTCTGTGCAGAATGTCATAGCTTATATAAATGTACAATATTCAATTGTAATGCATGCCTTCAGTTGTAAGTAGCTAGATTTCTCTATGGTGTCATTTAAACTTGCTACTTTTTACTTGGCTCTGTACAGTTTGCTTATTTATAAATTTATTGAAAACACTGCAGGTGTTGAAAGGTTAAAACATAGGCCTCCAGTTCATAACTTGTTATTTTTTTTGAGTGTGCAAACGGCTATTTTGCACTGTATTAAATGTAACTTATTTAATGAAATCAGAAGCAGTAGACAGATGTTGGTGCAATACGGATATTGTGATGCATTTATCTTAATAAAATGCTAATCGTCAATTTATCACAACGCATGTTTGACTTTAGACTGTAAATAGAGATCAGTTGTTTATTTCTGTGCTGGTATAGCAACAAGCATTGCACAGACATGGTTTCAGGTAAATAAATCTATTCTACGATAAGTTCACAGTGTGGTGCTGAGTGTTCTCATGCAGGAGGGGTGGGTGATATGCACTGAGGGCCTCCAGTCGTGCACCCTGAAGAGTTTTGGCTTCCACTGGGGGAAGGTCTTAGACTTGACTTTCTGGGTAGGAGAGCCAAGTGGTAGGAGGTCTGCTTGTATGACACGAGATCTGCAAAATGGTCTCCCTTCAAGTATGGGGAAAGCCGAATGTGAATGTCTTATTGTTGGGGTTTTCAAAGATAGTTGTCAGCAGCTTGGAGGATGTACCAATGGAGAGATGCTTCAAATACTGTTCAGATGGCAAATGTAAAATCCTACACTTCTGTGAACAGATCAACAGACGCTAGCGTTCACCCATTTGATGGTTACTTAGTGCTCCTCTACCAGGCACAGGGTTGGGGTGGGGTGTTTCTCTAATTTCCTAATTTCCCTAAGATGAGTTGTTGTTTTTTAAAGTGTTTTTTTTGATAGAGAGCAAGCCGGGGAAGGGCAGAGAAAGGGAGAGAGAGAATGCCAAGCAGCCTCCGCACCAATGCCGCCGAGCCTGATACAGTGCCCGAACCACAAACCACGGATCATGACGAGCCAAAACCAAGAGTCAGATGCTTAACCACCCAGGTGCCCCCCCCCCCCCGAGGATTCTTATGTTGTGAAAAACAAAACAAAAACAGGCAAGGATAGATACTATAAACCTGGAAACATTTGATAAAATTTTTCATTTTTTACTTAACAGTATCCATAATTGCTGGAAAATAAACCACAAGCACTGACACGACCAGAATTATACTCACCATCTGCTATTGCTAACTAAGCACTGTCTGGACGGTCACTGTAATCCGGCAAGAGAAGGGACAATGCCTAGGAGTGAACAGAAAGCCCCGAGAGTCTTACTAGATCAATGGTAGTATCTTGTTCATAGGAAAGTTTAATAACTCAGGGGGAATGAACATCTTGAGATAGATGATACATAATTCATGGGTTAGTGATAAATACTAGCACACATTTTAGTCAAACAGACTGATTCTAACAAACATGAAGGAAGAAAAAGAATAGCAAGGATGTGCACCAAACCCCTCAAACCTTAAAGCTCCAGCCTTTGCTCAATTTGGAAAGGTGGCATTTCAGCTTAGTAGGTTAAGGTTGGGTTATTCACTATGTCACTGGTCATCTTGAAAAACACACAGCTGTATCCCTTGTACTCAGTTGCAAATGGATCAAAAGATCTGAAAAATGAAACTATGCCCCCAAAAGAAAAATAGCTAAATGACATAAGAAGAAAACCTATGAATGGCTTATAAATATGAGAAGATGTTCAGCCCCAATGGCGAAATCACAAGGAGCTAGCATTTCATGCCTGGCAGCTGACAAGGCGGCCGTCTTTACCCTGCAGAACAAATACCCCACAGTGAACTTAGGGATGTCCTCACCATCCAGCCCAGCAGGCCCACTCCCATGCCTACCTCAGAGAATCCCTCCCGTGTGCTGCAAGAGCCACACCAGCATGTTTGTAAAAGCACTGGAGACAACCTCAGTGACCAACAGGAAAACCAAGAAGTGCCTCTGAGACATGTTCACATCACTCAGCAGCAATGAAAATGAGTAAACTGGAACAGCAGATAGCGACAGAAATCTCCCTGCACAGTGGAAACCAAGTGTAGTGTATACAAAGTTCAAAATACGCACTTAGGTGCTACGTATGTGGGTGTACGGTATGCCTGTTTGCATGTCTGGGGTTTTTGAAGAAAACCACACGAAGTACTCGGAGAGAACATGGACGATGAGAAGGCTTTCCATGCATGACAATCCCAGGAGAAAAGGGAGAAACGGACCATGTATAAAGGTAAACATGTGGACCAAGATACACCTCTCTCGAGTTAGGAAAACAGATTTGCTGTGCCTACGACAAAGAGCAAATTCCCTTCACATGACTGGCAAAATTCAAAGGTTGACAGCTACTGGTCTCTCCCTTGCAGCTGGTATCAGGAAACCGTATTTGTGCATATGATGAGCATGTAAACTGGCTCAGTCTTTGGAGGAGGGCAACTTGACGAATGAGATTTTTAAACATCCATACCCTTGGATCAAGTACTCGCTTCAGTGAAATCCTGCCACGTGTTCACAGAAACAATGTAATCCTGCTGCAGGATTGTGTAGCAAGAAATTGGAAATAGCCTGGATGGCCATCAATAGGCAAAATGTTCAATAAGAACATTAGTACCATGGAATATTATGCAGCCTTCAAAAAACACAAGGTAGATCTGTGTGAATGAGCAAGGAAAGATGTCCAACAGATGTCTGCCAGTGAAACATGAAAGTACAGAACAGCTTGTATAATACTCTGTCATTCATTTTTTTAAAAAACAGGAGGAAGTTAACAGGTTCCAGTCATAATGGTTACTGAGAATAACTGATAGTGATACAGATGGCGGATGGTGGGAACCAGTTTTCTCATGTTGGTTACAGATAAGCCAGGGGAAAGGGCTAGAATGATTCATGTGGTAATGAATTACGCTTGGAGACACCAGTATAAGATCCTGTTTCACTTGATATTGATATAGATGATCCTATATAGAAATACTTCCAGTTATGTGTATATAAGCACATGTACCTCACACCATCAACTGAGAGGGCCGGGAAGCAAGGACACTGCAGCAGCAATGAGCATACTTAGCTTCAGTTTTCTGATGTCATTTCTCCAATGAAAGGAATCAGGAATCAAATCTGCTTAGAAAAAAGATGGGAGTCTAGGGCCAGGGCAGAAAATGTACAACACACACCTGGAGAACACTGTAGTGTCAGGAAGTGCAGATGGGCTTAAAAAACAACACGTCAATGATCAAAGACGAGGTTGTGTCAAAGGGACAGAGGAACTAACTGAAAACGTTCTGCATGGCCAAAGCTAAAACAATTTCAGCAACAAAATAAAGTAGGACTAGATTATCATCCCAAGTATAAAATAAATATCCATCAGTCTCTAGAGACATAAGCAGGAGACACTAGAAATCTCCCATGCAGAAGAAATCCAAGTAGCTTCTGCAGAGAACTCTGCCCTTAGGGAGGCGAACCATAACTCCAGTTCCTTAAGTGTGAGCTATGCACAGTGACCGCGTTCCCTGGAGTACATATAAGTGTGGACGAGGGAGAAGTTAACCCACAGTGGAGAAACCTAACAGACACTACCTCAGCCAAGTGATGTCATTCGAGAGCATGTGCCCTGGATGTGAAGTGAGGAGAATGGCATTTTACCTGTGGTCTTCCCCCCACCCCACCCCCCAAAAAAACACATAACCTCAGTCTAATCAAAGAGAAAACACCTGACAAATCCCAAAGACAGACTGCAAAATACCTGACCTGTACTCCTTAAAATTGCTGAGATCATCAAAAACAAGGAAAATCTGAGAAACTATCATAGCCAAGAGGAGCCTAAGGACACAGGACAACTGAATAATACAGGATCCTGGATGAGATCCTGGAACAGAAAGAGGCAAAAACTAAAATCTGAATGAACTATGGATCTCAGTTAATAGTAACGTATAAATACTGGTTCATAATATGTAAGTACTGTGACAAATATCATGTAAAATGTTAGTAACAGGGGAAACTGGGTCTGGGTCATATAAGAACCCTCCGTACCATGTGCTCAATTTTTCCATATGTCTATAAATATTCTAAAATAAATAGTTTATTTTAAAAAGCTGAGATAAATATTTTTTTACTCTTTATAGGAGCATCAAAGAACTGCAAGAGAGTACAGAACTTCCGGGCCAAAATCTAAGCAGCAGCCAGGATAATCAGAATATCCAAGGTCTCTTTTCCCCTTGTGGCATCTACCTCTCCAAATAAGCTAAGCTGTGAAAACGAGCAGGGGTTTTGAGAGCTCGCAGAGTAGAAAAGGCAAAGTCAAAATCCAGGGCCCAGCAAAAGTGAGAAGTCTCATAGGACATTAAGCTGTGGCCCCAAAGGGCTAACACCTTAGGATAAAGGCAAACCAGATAATAAACCCGTCTTCCTTCCCCAAAACAAAGGGCTGCAGGCCCTGCAGTGGTTCCAAGCAGAACCAGAAAAATACCCACCCCTAGAAGGGGGTGTAAACACTGGCTATGGAGGATCTGCAGCCTCAAGGCATGAATTTAAAGTCACAGGCAGTATCTCTGAGCCCCAGGCAGAAATAAGTGTAAATCCTCCCTAG